AGCAACACCTCCCAACCCCAAAGCTCCAGCCCCACACTGCCCTCAAACCACCACGTCTCCACGTCGTGAAGCCACAGCTGGAGAACTGGGACCAGTTCTGGGTTGCCCAGTTCCGGAGAGCCAGGGAACTGCTGCAGAGAGTCCAGGGGAGGGTGACAAAGGCGGGTGGGAGATCAGGAGCATCTCCCTGCTGGGGAAGGGCTGGGGGAGCTGGGGCTGCTCAGCCTGGAGAGAAGGTTGAGGAGACCTGACCAACCCCTGCAAGGACCTCAGGGACCCCGGGCAGGACACCCAGCAGGGCTGTTCCACAGGGTTCCCTCTTCTCCACGCTGCACCAGGGAGGACACGGGAACCTTCTGCACTTCCCAGCAAGGAGCAACACCTCCCAACCCCAAAGCTCCAGCCCCACACTGCCCTCAAACCACCACATCTCCACGTCGTGAAGCCACAGCTGGAGAACTGGGACCAGTTCTGGGCTGCCCAGTTCCGGAGAGCCTGGGAACTGCTGGAGAGAGTCCAGGGGAGGGTGACAAAGGTGCCACCTCAGGGACACCCAGCAGGACGGTCCCCTCTTCTCCACGCTGCACCAGGGAGGACACGGAGACCTTCTCCACTCCCCAGCAAGCAGCAACACCTCCCAACCCCAAAGCTCCAGCCCCACACTGCCCTCAAACCACCACGTCTCCACGTGGAGAAGCCCAGCACCCTTTTCCCTCCCCTCCCAGCACCCCGGGAGGCACCTACTTCCTCTGCTGGGCCGAGGAGCGCCGGGTGCACACCACGGCCACCACGGCCACCACCACCACCGTGAGGGCCCCCACGGTGACCACGATGACCACCAGCAGGTTGCTGCTCTTCTGGGGGGTGACGCTGCCGTGGGGAGGGTGCATCTGCCCGATGGGGGGCTCTGCAAGAGGACAGACAACCAGGGGGTGGTTAGAGATGAGTCTTCTCTCCCTCCCCTCCTTGGGTGTCAACCCATACAAACACCCACCCAGGTGGCACGAAGCCCTCAGAGAAAGCAGAGGGGAGGTGGAGGTGATGAAGGGCTGAAGTGGATGGCTCCCTGCATCCCAGGGGGATGGAGAACAAGATTGAAGCAGGAGCTGCTTTGCATCTTCTGGGTGTTAATAACCTGCTGGGGGGGGAGTCAATAACTCTCAGCTCCTTTTTTGCTGTTATCAGCTGAAAATGGAAAGACAAGGACTATGGATTTATTTTTTCTTTATGGGATGTTCTTGCTGAGGATTTACAGGCAAATCCAGAGCTCCTGGATCAGCCCTGCAGCCACTCTCCCAGCATCTCCTGCTGCCTTTCTTGCAGGTTGAAGGGCTCAACCTTCTGAGGAGCAACCTCGGGTTCCAAGTTCTGGCCACCTGCCCCAAAAATGGTGAGGAATCCTAGCATGGTTTGCTTGGGAAGGGGCCTTCAAGGTCATCTACTTCTGACCCCCCTGCATGGGCAGGGACACCTCCAGCTCTGTCTTCTAAGACCATCCTTCAAGAACCCTGTGAGATGACAAACCCCCAAGGCCCAAAGGATCTTGGCACTTAAAAAAAAACCACCCCCAAAGTCTTCAGGGCCAGTGGGATGCAGAAGGAATCATTCAGTCCAACCAGCTCTGCCCAGGCCACCCCTGCCCCATGTCCCTCAGCACCACATCTTGGAAACCCCTCCAGGGATGGGGACTCCAGCCCTGCCCTGGGCAGCCTGGGCCAGGGCCTGACAACCCTGGCCAGCAAGAAATGGTTCCTCATCAATTGCACCAAGGTGGGATTTTCAACAGCTGAAAGAATTTTCCCCTACAAAAAAAAAGTGAGTGGGTGACCTGTGGACACGTTGGGTGACCTCAAAGCCATATGAGAGATAGGAAAGAGAGAGCAATAAAGAGAAGAGAAGTGGGAGGTTCTCCCCAGAACTTCACTTGCTGATGGAGTGTGGCTGGATGGAGGCTGGACTTACCATTTAGGCTGCTCCTGTCAATCAGGTTGGTGTCCACTGGCCAGAAGGAACCATCCCCGTGACGACCTGGGGGCAAGAAAGGTACTTCAGATACAGCCTGATGGGTACAACCAGCCCAGTCAAGTTTGTTGCTTGACTGACAACCTGACAACCTTCAAACCACTCAACAGAGCAGGAGACCTCATCCCAAAAGTGCCACCAAAGAGGCTTGGGGAAGGAAGCCCAAAGAATCACAAGAAGAAGGAAAAAAAAGGGACCCTGTTCCCATTCCAAACACCTGCCAATTAATGTAGGAAAATTGGAGGTGTTTGCTGGATTTTCTCCTGTTTCTCAGCTTTGTGTCCCTGCTTCTGCTCTGCTCCCTCCTGTCTGGCAGGAGGAGAATGGCCAAGAGGTTGGTCAAGTCCTACCAAGCTCCTCTTCATCCCTTCAGGGATGGGGTTGAGCAGCCCAAGCCCATGGCAGAAGAGTTTTAGGCTCAAAGCTGCTCTTCTGGCAAAGACCAAGGCTTTTTTTGGGGGGTCTACCAGCCCTTAGGTCCAACAAATACTCCCTGAGGGTGTTTGTTGCTTGGTGAAGGGACTATATAAACATTCTGAGAAGGTAGCAGAGGGAATTACCAGGGATTGTTACCAATTTGGCAAGTGTTTGGTGATGAATGGCCTGAAAGAAATAGATGATGATGATCCTCAGAAGTCATCAGTGTCATCATCTTTTCAATCAGCATAATTGCACAGTGACAACAACTGGAGCCCAAGCAAGGAAGGTTGCCAAATGTTTGGCTGGAAAAGCAGGCAGAAGAGAGAGAAATGGAAGGTTCCTAGTGGTTCTAGAGTGGGACACTCTAAAGGAGTCCTGTTCCCAGCAAGACACAGCACAGAGTGGGAAGATGTTGTCACCCTGGGGTTATATGATGTTGAGGAAACTGGGTATCCCCCTGGAAGGCTGCTAGAGATTGCTGGGTTTTATGTTGAGCCCAGAGTGAAACATCTCAGTGGGAGCCTAACACGTTGGGAAATGGAGTTGGGGTAAGAGAGACTTCAAAAAACTAACCCTGGATGCCCCACTCTGGAGCTGAGTGCTTTTTAAGTTAATGAAGAACACTCTTCAAGGCATTATACAGGATCATTTTATAGAATCCCAGACTGGTTTGGGTTGGAAAGGACCTTCAAGATCATCTAGTCCCAACCTGCCATGGGCAGGGACACCTCCCACCAGCCCAGGTTGCTCCAAGCCCCATCCAACCTGCCCTTCAACACTGCCAGGGATGGGGCAGCCACAGCTTCCCTGGGCAACCTGGGCCAGGCTCTCACCACCCTCACACCAAAGAATTCCCTCCTCATGTCTCACCTCAATCTCCCCTCTTCCAGGTTTTTTACCCCTTGTCCTACCACTAGAAGCCCTTGCCTCCTACCTCCTTCCTCTTCTCACAGCAGTTGGTCTCTGCTCTTCCAGGGAGTTGCAACAACAGGGAGCAAGACCAAGAAACCTCCAAAGATCTCCCCAAACTCTCCTCTCCTGCCCATCTCCCTTTTAGGCACCTAGAGATGGCAACATTGCCAAATTGCATTTGGGGCAGAGATGGTCCTAAAGGCCTTGCCCAAAGCCCAGAGTC